GTTCGAATCTCCGTCAGAGACCCCCAATATTTCCCTCGCCAGGCCCAGTACCCTCTTCCTACCAGTAGCCTGCTAGGGTTACAACCAATTATCAATGAGCTATTGAGGAAGGGTTTCATTGGGCCCACAAACTCCCTCTACAATACTCCCATCCTGGCAGTTAAAAATCTCCCAACACTTACCGGTTAGTCCAAGAATTGTGCATCATTAATGAGGCAGTTGTGCCCATCCATCCTTTCATTCTTCATATATCCTGCATCCCTGCCGTCTCCCCCATTCTAGAGTAACTACTACTCTTCCTCTCCTCGCTCATACTTCATGGAAATTTGGATTTTCAAGTGTGACCCATTTTCTCTCCTTTTTCTGTGGCAACTGCTTGAACTCCCTACTTGGCCCTGGCCCATAGCCGTACCCGTGTGTGAGACTGAGGGTGATTGGGAGTAACCCCCATGCAGGATGTGTGAACAACATCCATACACCTCCATCCCCTTCCTGATTTTGCTTCTGCTTCTTTCCCCTGCCACACATGACTCGGGGTTCAGGTGGAGATTTTATTTGACAGAGACCTGGACAACCAGTCCTACAACCCGTGCCCCTGTTGGAGGTTTCTTTTGGTGCAATGGTGCCCTCTCCAAAACTCTTAACGCCTCTGGTTCTGTTCTCTGCCGGCCTGTTTCACTGGTTCCTCAACTTACCGGTTACAGCCAAGCAGAAGCTATTGCCGTAATTAACCCCCCAGAAAACCAAAAGCGTGCAGTCTTTCTCCCCTTAGTCATGGGGGTCTCCCTGGCCTCCTCTCTAGTGGCCATGGGACTGGGCACGGGGGCTCTTATCCATTCTGTAGACTCCACTAGAGATCTATCCCCAAAACTCCAGGCAGCTGTCGAGGCTTCAGCAGAGGCCCTGACCTCCCTACAATGCCAAATCACCTCCATAGCCCAGGTAGCTCTGCTCACCGCAGAAAAAGGCACATGCTTCTCAATGAAGAATGTTGTTACTACATCAATGAAACAGGAATGAATCCGCAAGGTATCTCGGGTGTCCATCAATCAACTCCTCCTCCAAGAATACCTGCTCCTACCAGATGGTGAGGACAAGCCTCCTATTTTTCCTCCACACCGTCCAGGAGGACAGTTGGTTACTCCCTAACATCCAACAAGTGGAAGACATATTTGAGGGCCTCAGTGACTTTTGGCTCCAAGGGACATTCCCCACCTCTCAACAGAAGAAATTATCATCTTCAGTGCCTGGGTTTATGGTCTCTTATCTCTCATATTAGACTAAGCAAACCTTCCTCCCTCGCCTCCCATGTCCACCCTCCCCCTTCTCCTCCACTTCTCAGCAGGAAATAGCCAGAGATGATCTTGATGCCCTTCTCCAAATCTAAGACCAAAGAGGGAGGAATGTTGGCTAATATACCCTCCACCAGAAAAGTAAAATGGCATTAAAGACCGAGATACACAAAATGGCACCTGAGAAAGTTTCCCGGAAAACCCCCATCCAGAAAAACCCCCTAGCTGCCACGTCACCTTCCCATGCGTGCAATTTTGCCCACCTACGAGAAAGTCCCAGCTCAGCTTAAACCCCGCTCGCTTCCCTCCCCTTCCTTCTTAGCCATTAGAACAGTCCAGCTCAGCCTAACTGGATGTAAAAAGCCCAGCCCGACTCCCCCACTTTCGAGAGAGCAGCTCACTTGTTCATCTTGCCTGCCTAACACGCTTTGGTTGAGTCCCTGTCTCCAGGTGTGTCTTATTTTGTGCTTGGGCCAGCGTTTTTCCTTTCACATCCCCTTTCCTCCTGGCCCTGAGAAAGAGTCCACCCTCCCCACACCTGGACCCCTGAATTCTGCCTCCAGAACTGTTGGGCCAGAGGGAGCAGGAGGACTGGAAAGCGGCAACAAAGTAGCGACAGAGCCTCCATCTCGTGAACTCCACCCCCACCCCCTTAACTTTGCCCCCTCCCTCCCCGGAAGGCAGGAACTGGAAACTGAGCTCTGCGCAATTCCATACCATATATGAGCAAAAAACCCACCAACAGCCCTCCCCTATATATACCTGTTTGTATCCACCCTGGGTGCGACCTTGCCCGAGAGCACCTCCATTGAAGCTTGTCTCGAGCCCTTTGTCTGGCTCCTCTTGTTACTTACCACTGCTGAATTGAACCAGACAAGAACTGTGAGAGGAGCCATCTGTGTTGGTTACTGCCAGTGGGTGGTAAGTTGTCTGGCAGCCCTGGGAGGCTGTGCTGAGCTGGGGGATTGTGGGGAGAGCTTGGAGGTGGAGCCAGGCTGTGTAGACAAAGCCTGTGGGGCTGGAGAGGGGCTCAGAGGCTCCCACAGAGATGCCTCAGGATTGCTGGGCCCTCCCCTGGCTGGAGCCCCCAACAGTGTTAACCAGAACCTGCCCAGCTGAGTTCACTCCCCTAAGCTCCACAGTCCCCTTAACCCCCCACCCCCCAAGTCTGGACTTTGTAGGTCTGGACTTTCCTGTTGCCCTCCCCACCCCAGCTCAGGAAGCAGAGGGACAAAGGTCAGGGATCAGCAGTGTCCTCAGAAGCTGGCCTTCACCCCTCCTTCTGCTCTCTGTCTTTCTTCCTATTTCTATTTCTGTCACTGTCACCTGCTCAGCCCTTCTTCCTATCCTAGGGGAGCTCTGCCCTCTGCCAGCTCCACCTAGCTCTGCTCTTAAACCAGCTGAGCCTCTGTCCCAGAGCAGAAAGCAACTGGCCTCTGCGCTAGGAGGACAGGGACTACAAGGTGACTGAGTCATTCTGGGGAAGGAGCTGGGGTCCCCGAGGCCAAGGACTTTCAGGAGGTGGGGTGGCGGGGGTGGCCAAGATGCTTTTTTCTTTTTTTTTTTGTCTTTTTCCGTGTCCGGCAACGGATCGCAACCCTCAGTGTTGCACCCATACTGGGCCGGGGACCGGCAACGGGATTGCAACCCTCGGTGTTGCTGCTCCTGCGCCTCGCTCAGCCAGTGAGCGGGAACCGGTCTGTATGTGGGATCCGAACCCTCGGGCGGGAGCGCCGCCACGCTTCCCAAGCGGCGCACTTATCCAGTGCGCCACCGGGCCGGCCCCAAGATGCTTTTCTGAGAGGGTTTTCCTCATGCCTGTTCCTCTCCAGCAGGCCCACCTGCTGGAATCCTGATCCCCCATGGTCTACCCCAAGGTCAGTGAGAGCCGTGATGGGCATGGTGGGCCCGACATCCCATAGCCCATCTCTCGTCCCCCTCCCAGCAGTGCAGAACCCACCCGGATCATCCCTCCATGTCCACCTGGCTCAGTCTCCTTCTCCTAGGCCATGAGGGAGGCTGCCTGGGAGCAGGGTCATGGGCAGAACCAGGAGGTGATCTGTGCGGGTACACAGGCCCCAGCGAGGCTGGGTGAATGCTGGGCTGTCACCATTTGGAAAGTCTGAGTAATTCCCAACAAGTGGCCCTAGTTTCATTTACTCTGAGCCCATCAAAAGTACGTGGCAGGCCCTGGTCGTGGGGCCAGAGCTCCAGTCTGGGAGGTAAATTGGGGCAGATCTGGGAGAGTTTGGGAAAGGGTCTGTGTGCTAAGCGTTTTCCAACAGGATTTTGATTCAGGGCTCAGTCGGAGTGCCAAGTGACAAGGAATGTCCCCAAGTGTTATTTGAGGGTATTGTTTGAGACCTTTATAGATCTGCGTGTTTGTGGGGGGAGCTGGAGACGGAAGGGCTGCAGAATGAGATGAATCACCAATCCCAGGAGACCCCCTACTCTGGAAAGCCTGGGTCGGGGGGCGGGCAGTGCTTTTCTGGGAATAATTTGTTGGCAGCCGGCCAGTGCAGGGATTGAACCCTTGACTTTGGTGTTGTCAGCACCATACTCTGACTGTGCTAAGTGGCCAGCCCTGTCTGGAGACTGTGAAAGCTGCTGTCGGGGCAGGCGGTCAGCTCAGAGCTCGCCGGGTTAGAGCGTGGTGTTGTAACACCAAGGCGCGGGGCTTGGATCCCTGTACCAGCCAGCTGCCCAGAAGGAAAAAACAGCAAATTTCTTTTCAGGAGCTGGCCTGGCTGGGAAGGCCCAAGAACACCCCAGGACCTGCATGGGCCTGGTTGTCTGTTCCTCCCTTCCCGGGTGCCCTCCAACCTCCCCCTCCCTTCCCTCTCCCCCACCCCAAATGTGAGGCTGACCAGATCCTCAGGGCACTGTGGGCCTGAGACAGTGGGATTTCTGGGGCTCTGCAGCCGAGCCCAGGCTCAGGGGTAACCTGGAGGGCAGGTGGCTCCACTGGCTGGCACAGCACTGCTTTTACCCTATTTCATGTGAAACTGGGCAGGCAGGAAGGTATGTATGGCACCTGACTCAAAGTGCACAGACATCCACATGCCCAAAACGCTTGCCCAGGGCCCTGCACACACTGGGAGGGACACTGACCACCCAGTGACCCGGAAGCCAAGTAGGTCCAGCACCAGATTGGAACCTTAATGTGGGGACTCATGGGGGAGGCTGTGGGGTTCTCTGGCCTCTCTGGGGCCAGCCAAGTGTGTGGGGTGACAACGGCCCATGGGCTGTATTGGGAAGAGCATCCAGATGCAGCTTGGGACCCGCTCAGAACCCCTGAATCTCCATCAGCACCAAAGAGAGAATGGCTGTGGGACCATTCCCCTCCCCGTTCCCAACAAGATCCTCCCTCAGCCACCTCTCACTGGAGACCATAGAGGGGATGGGAAACCAAGTGGATCCAGCACACTCCTGTCGGTGTGTACACGGGGCATATGTGTGTGTACACATAGGGCCTGAGTGTCACTGGTAGTTTAAGACAAAATATGATCCCTTCAATCATCTCAGGGCTGAAATGGTAAAGCTCTTCCCCAGGTATGCTGGGGTGGTGGGAGGGGGCCTGGGCTCTTAGCCGGTGGTGCTGAGGACACACATTCCAGCTTACCTGGGACCCAGGAGGGAGAAGCATCAGGCCTGTTGGCCCCAACTCCGCCTCTCTTCACACCTCCAGGATTTAAACACATGTGTGGATAAGATCCTGTGCAATCATCCCCAAACTGAGCAGGTGGGTTGATGTGCCTTCAGGCTCCAGGTCAGATGTCCCACCCAGGCTGTCACAGTTCGGGTGGGGTGGGGCTGGTTTCACTATGATGATGGTGAAGGTGCTGCCTAGGGCTTGCTCATCTTTACACGGGACACTAACTCCTTAGTTCACACCCATGTGGCAGGTGTGTGCATGGCTGGGGGACACAGATGCCTGGGAGACCTAGGGAGGTGTCTAAGTCTCACAGCATGCTGATGACTCAGCCAGGATGCTAGACATCTGGTCCCCAGGTGCCTGGCTTGACCCAGTTACGAGGTATGTGCATGGGGGCAGGGAATAGGTGGGGGCTTGAGCACATGACCAAAAGTAGGAGGATGGGATTTGAACCAAGTGATTTTCCCCACAGGTCAAGAAAGTCCTAACAGAGCTCCAGGTGAGTACTGAACTTGTCCCCTCCCCAAAGCTTAGACCCAGGTTCTTGGGCTTACCAATCATAGGGTCAGGACTCCTGGCTCCGTTGTGACTCACCTGGACCCTTGGGAGGCCACAGTGGCGACCCCAGCAGGCAGGAGCTGGCCTGCAGCCCCTGCACTCTCCTCCTCCCAGGCCAGCATCAACAAGATCTTGCTGGACGTGATTGGTTCTCAATATCAGAAACAACCCAGTGAGTTTGAGGTGCCGTCCCAGTCCTCCTGCATCCCCTTCACCCCTCTCTCACCTTGTGGGTGTGTGCATTCATGGCCCCCAAGCTGGCACCTGCCTCCAGGCCTCCCCTGCACACAGTGGCCAGAGTCTTGCCTAATTCAGTGCACCATGGAGCCTGCAAGGGCTTGGTGCTAGGCCCAGAGCCACCTGTGACCAGCACAAACGACCACCATGAATGGAGGGTAATTGAGACGGGGTCTCTAGGAAATTCCCTCGTGTCTGTGGAGCTGTTGGCAAAAGAGTGACATCTATCGGCTTCTGCCTCTAGACTCACACAAAGGCCAGGAGGCCTGGGTGGGGTCAGGGCCTGGGTCCACACACCCCCACCATCCGGGCCCTGATGGCCTCCCATTTCTACAGGACCTTACTCATGTGGCCCTGATGTGTGGTAGGGATTACGCTGCAGAGTCCAGGGTCACTCTGGCCCCTTTCTGGAAGATGATGGTCCAGGGGTCTTGGACCCTGAGGTGAGATTTTGGGACCAGGTGCTGATATAGTTCCAAGGAAAGCTGATGGAGTGGCAAGGTGTGCTGTCCCTGCCCCATCCCTGACAACTCCCCTCCCTCCCGCACTAATCCTTCTCTGGCCAGCTCTCACCTGGGACCTCAGAGGGTGTGGGAAACTGAGTAGACCCTGCACACTCCGGTGAAGTGTCTTCCTTCTGGGTGTGTGTGTGCACAGTGGCACACGAGTGTGTGTGGGCATGAGTGTTGTGTGCAGCGTTTCCATAGGGGCAAGGTCACATAGGGCCTGTGTGTCACTGTTGCCTCCACAGGAAGAAGATGATCACTTCGAGAATCTGAGGGTCAGCCTGGTATGCTGGGGCGGTTGGTGGGGGCCTGGGCTCTCGGCCATGGCCCTGATGATGGATATTCCGGCCCACCTGGGACCCAGGAGGGAGAAAGATCAGGCCTGTTGGCTCCAATTCTGCTTTTCTTCACAGACATCCAGTGTAGATAAATTCATTAATCATATCAAATCTTCAAGGTCAGCATGTGAAAAGGTGGGTCAATGTGTCCCCACCCCCAGACTGTCCACAATTCAGGCGGGGTGGGGCTGGTTCCACGATGACAATAATGGAGGTGCTATCCCAGGCTTGCCCATCCTTACCTGGGACAAATCCTTGCAACTCACTGACTTCGCAGTTCACACTGGTGTGCCAGGTGAATGCACTGGTGAGAGACATGGAGGCCTGGAGGACCAAGGGAAGTGTCCAAGTCCCAAAGCACGTTAATGACTGAGTGAGAGAAACGCCCTCCGCTCCTATTCTCTCACTACACGCTCGTGACCCACTCCTGACACCAGACGAGAGGAGCGACCACGAGCTGGGTTTTCTTCATCTTACAGCACAATCATCCACACAGAAAGCCTTGTCATCAAATGTGTGGGATTTATCCCCACCAAACAATTAAGTAGACAATCAGTTCCACAGTGGACACCAGTTGCATGTCCTCCAATTCAATTCTGACACTGTCTATGTGGAATTAGCATCAGATCCCATAGGCTGAGGGCTCAGGCACCAAGACTGCCCCCGCCCCCTCTCAGGTGCCAATCACAAACCTCGGGTTGTTTTACCTGCATTGCTGACTGACCTGCTATAAACTGGGGTTCACATACCCACTCCTTGGGTTCAGTTGATTTGCTGAGAGCCTCACAGAACTCAGGGAAACACTTATGTTTACTGGTTTGTTATAAAGGATATTACTAAAGACAGATGAGGAGATGCTCAGGGTGAGGTATGGGGTAAGGGGCACTGAGCTTCCACACCCTCCCTGGGGTCCCACCTCCAGGAACCTCCATGTGTCCAGCTCTTTGGAAGCTCTCTGAACCCAGGGCTCTTGGTTTTATCAGAGGCTGCATTGAGTGACTAACTCATCGGCCACTGGTGACCAGCTTATCCTTCAGCCCCTCTCCCCTCCACAGAGCTTGGGGTGGGGGGCTAAAGTCCCAACTCTCTAGTCCTGCCTTGGTCTTTCTGCTGACCAGTGCCCATCCTGAAGTCACCTAGGGGTACCAGTCACCAGTCAATTCAGAAGCACTTTGGGGATTCTAACGATTTTAGGAGTTGTGTTATGATATGGGACAGAAGACAAAATACATGAATATATTTTCAGAATATCAGAATGACACAACCAGGATGCCAGACACCTGGTCCCCAAGCACCTGCTAGACCCAGTGATGGGGTGCATGTGGGGGCTGGGAACAGGCAGGGGCTTGAGCACAAGACAAAGTAAGGAGGGGGTCCTTGATCCAAGTGGTTTTTCCTAACAGATGATGTCACGGTCAGCAGAGGTAAAGATTTTTTTGTGACAAGTTGCTGAAGTGTTTCCAAGTGATGCTGGATAGAGTGATGAACGTGTGGCAGGATGCCCTGGCCTGGCTGCTGGAGAAAGTGGCAGCAGGGTTCCAGGCCCTGTACAGTGCGATGGAGGCTGTGCTGGGCAATTTGAGGAGTTTCTGCTACTCCGTGACAGAGCTCTTCCCATTGTCTATACAAGCCTAGGGACCCAACCAGGCAGAGTGAGGAGCTGGGCCCACCTAGGAGCTCTTTGAATACTGAGTCTTGGGAAGGAATCTTCCAGCAAGCAGCAGCTTTGCCCTCCTGCTCCCCCATCCTTGATAGCCCCTCCCAGCTCCTTGTGCCCGCCTCCCCACCCCGCCCACAAAGCACTCCCTGCCTGGCTTTGCTTGTGTAGGTGTGACCTGCCGCTCTAGCCCTGGTGTCTTAATAAAAGTGTGTTGAACGGATTGGAGGGCTTGCCTGGAGTCTTCTCTGACAGGCAGGCACAGGCTAGGGGCCTGGGGGGACAGAAGGCTAGGACCCAGTGCTTACAGGCAGAGACTGTGGATCAGATCGCACAGCAGGTGTTCCAGTTTTGGGTGAGAAGGGACAAGCCAGCCAACCTCCCTTATTCATAAATGGGGACTCGGTCCCCATGCAGTCATGGGTGTGTGGTAAGGACTCAAAGATATTTGCCAGGAGACTTGTCTGTCACTGGGCCTGATGCCCAGGAGATGGTCGGTGGCCGCCTGCTCCCGCGGCAGCAGGGACCTGGGTGTGAGGGCGCGCTGGCCCACATTTTTCTTCTGATTCCGTCTGTCTGTCCTCGGTGCTCCAGCTGGCCTGGGGCCACCAACACCCCTGGGTCTCTCTCCGAAGATGGGAGGTTCCCAGGGCTGGGGCAGAGAGGGACTCCGAAGGGTGAGGAGGAGGGCGGCAGTGAAGTTTGTGGGCCTGAGGCCTCGCCTGGGCTGCAAAGGCAGAGACTGGGGGCAGCCAGGAGCAAGGCTGAGCGGACAGCCCCTCTCCATCTCTGAGCCTCGCAGAAGTTCATGTGCAGGGAAAAGGCTCTCCCTCTCCTGCCACTTCCTGCCGCTCCCATCCTGGGGTGGTCTGGCAGCGACCTGCAGCTGCTGAGAAGACGATGTGTGTGTGTGTGTGTGGGGGGGGGTGTGACCTGAGGAAGGAGGAGGAGGAAACAGCTGGGCCTGGTGAGCAGGAAGCACCTGCAGGCCAGGGCTGAGCCCATTGTCTGGGGAGGGGCCACTGGGCTGGGTGGGGGATGTGGGGAGGACCTGGAGGCCAGGAGGACATTTCTGTGGCTCACTATTCTACTCCCTTCTCTGACCCTTTTGGATCATAGGAATGACCTCTGGATTTTTATTTAATTTATTTATTAGTGGATGGCCAGTTAGAGGATCCAAGCCCTTGACCTTGACCTTGTTGTTAATAACACCACACTCTAAAGCTCTGGATTTTTACAACAAATGTCCTCCTGGGACCAGCTGGGAGTCCAGCCAGGGAAAATGGCTGGACAATGACCCTGACATTAGCCTTGGTGGCCCTGATAATCCTGAGGGGCTCTGCTTGCTTCCAGCCCTTGCCCAGCAACTCCTGCAGGGGGATGGGGAGGTCACCAGGGGGAAGGGTCTTGCTGGGCCCTCTTGGCCCTGACCCTTCCTTCATGAGGAAGATGGGGCCTAAGCTCGGAGCTCTTTTCTGCAGAGCCCCCATCCAGCCCACACCCTTTCACCATCCACGTCCTGGAGGTCCCTGTGACATCCCTTTCAGACCGGAAGGGCTGTCCCTAGCCTGAGCCCCCGGTTCCAAGGGGCTACCCAAGGCTGGGTCCTGACCTGGACTGTTTTTATGCTTGACCATGACCTTGGATCTCCTGGCAGCCACAGCTCAAGTTCTTCCACACCCTTTCCCTGCACTTTTTCAAGTGACTCCATGTCCCCCCTCTGCTTCCCCTTCCTCAGGTCCCCTCTACTTAGCTTCTTCCACTGTGTCAATGTCACCAGTGGCTTTTGTGGTCCCACTTTCCTTTGAGGTCACCATTCTCCTGAACCTGGATGGCAGTAGTGGCTTCCTAGCTGGTCTCCCTGGCCTTCCCTCATTCAAACCATTTCCGTCCAGTAGCCAAAGCCAAAATGATTTTATCAGTTGAAATGAACTGACGCTGTACCAAAAAACCTCACCTCGTCTTACCATTGTATGTAGTCCCTTACCCTGGCCTGTCAGGCCTCATGTTGTTACTCTCTGAACTCTCCTTCCTTCCTACTCCCAAAAGGGCTGACTCTCCTTCAGGCTCAGAGCTTTTCAGCCCGCTGTGCCCAGGTGGCCCCTCTACTTTCTCCCAGATTTGGGGTCAACTTTCCATTGGTCACTTGAGCCATGGTTGACGAGTTCAGTTCCTTTCAACAAACGTTTATGAAGCAGCAGTTATGTACTAGGTTGAGAGGGGGTGAGGGTGAGCAAAAATTAAGAAAAAATTGTTTTCCTAGAATAGCTGCAGAATAAAGCAGGAAGTGTGTGCGCTGGGGGGCTGGGGTGCACTATTTTTCTTTCCTCTTTTTACCACCAGTCATGCGATTTAACATGTGAGCACCAGTGGAGGCCAGCTAAGACTGTCTGATGCAGACACAGGCAGGGCACACGCACCAACTACCTTAGGGTTGAGAAGAGTCTTGGTGGTCAGCAACAGACAGCCTGACTTGTCCTGTGGGCACGTTCATTTCAACTGCTGGTATTTTCAGTCTGAAGTAGTTATCAACATTCCAGAACAACCAGAGGTTTCCCATAGTAATCCAGAATCTGAGATTAAAATTACATTCCATTTTAACTAATTTAAAAAGTCACATATAGCTAGAGGGTACTGTATTGGACAGCACGGATTTAGGGGTAGACTCTGGAGGAGAAAAAACTCCAGGATGGGATTCTGTGATTCCGTGACCTTCCCCACAGCTGGCCCCTCCCCCTCCCCACCCACTACAGTTGTTGAAACTACGCCCACCCTGCTCCTATGCAGCTTGCTAGAGAAGGTGCTGGGGAGGGGAAGGAGAAAGACATCCCTGTGCCACTGTGGGAAGAGTGACAGGTGGCATTTTGCTGCACTTAAAGCGAAATAAAGAGGAACCACTTTCAAGAAGGCCGCTTTACTTTGAGCTTTTGAAATACTTTGCTGAGGCTAGGGAGAGGAGCTTCGGGCAGCAAGGGGAACGTGCAAGTGGAGGAAGAGGGAGGTTCGGTGTGGCAGTAAGAGAGAGCCCTGCAGGCCTCAGGACCGCAGGGAGGTGCGCGCAGGGCGAGGCCGTCAGGATGTGGGCCACGCTAGTACAGAGTCTCCCGGGCGTGAGTTCGCAGGTGGCGCAGCAGGTGGGAGTTGCGGCTGAAGCTGCGGCCACACTGCGAGCAAGAGTAGGGCCTGGCGCCGGTGTGCACCAGCAGGTGGCGTAGCAGGTTGCAGCTGCGGCTGAAGCTCTTGCCGCACTCCACGCACTCCTGAGGGACCTCGGCCTCCTCCTGGCTCGACCCCCCGTGAGTGGCCATGTGCCGCTGCAGGTGGGCGTTGCGCCGGAAGCTGCGGCTGCACGTCGGGCAGCTGTAGGGACGTTCACCCGTGTGGCTGCGGCGGTGACGGGCCAGGTTGGAGCTGTTGCGAAAGCGGTGGCCGCAGGTGTCGCAGACATGGGGCTTCTCCCCGGTGTGGATGCGCTGGTGGCGCGCCAGGTGGGCACTCTGGCTGAAACCCTCCCCGCACTCACTGCAGCGGCAGGGCTTCTCACCCGTGTGGCTGCGCCGGTGGCGGGCCAGGTCCTGCATCTGGCTGAAGCTCTTGCCACACTGGCCGCAGTGGTGAGGCCGTGGGCCACCATGGGTCAGCAGGTGGCGGGCCAGGCCGGCTCGTCGCACGAAGCGCTTCCCACACTGCGGACAGACGTAGGGCTTTTCGCCCGTGTGCACCCGTTGGTGGCTGACCAGCTGGGAGCTCTGGGTGAAGCTGCGGCCGCAAACCTGGCACGAGAAGGGCCGCTCGCCCGTGTGCACGCGCCGGTGGGCCACCAGGTGCTCGTTGCGCCGGAAGACCTTGCCACAGTCGCCGCACACGTATGGTCTGCGCTCAGGGTCTGAGCGCAGACTGCCCGAGCCTTTGGAGCATTGGCGGTCCTTGTCCCTGGAGTGGATCCTCAGGTGGCGCTTGAGGCTGGAGCGGCACTGGAAGGTCTGGCCGCAGTGGGAGCACAACACGACGGACAGCTGCGGCACCTCTGTCTCGCTCCCCGGGGTGCACACGGGCTTCTGGTCTTGGGCGTGTGCCAGCAGGTGCTGCACGAGGCTGGCGCGGCGCTGGAAGCCCCGGCCGCACTCAGCGCACAGGAAGGCAGGCTCCGAGGAGTGGGTCAGCAGGTGCTTGCTCAGGTGCGAGCTCTGGCGGAAGCGGTGGCCACAAAGGTGGCAGGCGTGCGGCCGCTCATCTGTGTGTGTGCGCATGTGCAGTTTGAGGATGGAGCTGCGGCCGAAGCTCTTGCCGCAGCACGAGCACCGGAAGGAGCGCGCTCCTGGGTGGGAGACTGCCAGGTGCGCCTTCAGGCGCGAGAGCTGCGGGAAGCTAACCCCGCACTCTGTGCATATGAACTGTGTCTGGGGCTCTGACCTGGGGGCGTCCCCGGCTACTATGACCTCCAAAATTTCACTTCTGCTAGGGGAAGACCCTCCGCCACCACTGCCGCTCGCCCCAGGGCCCTGCCCAAGGACCTGGGCAAGAGGCTCTCCCACCACCCCAGGACTATCTGCCCGCGACTCTGCTGAGACGGCGGCGGGCCAGGCAGCCACTTTGGGCTCTTCTTGTTTTAATTCCTCCTTGTCTGGGATTCTGCTTTCAGATCCTGGGAAAGAAGCAGAAACAAGGATGGTCAAGTCTATTCTGGGCAGCTTCTAGGAATCGCCAGAACCTGATTGGCCTGGATGTGGAAAGGATACCCCTATCTTGACCACCTGTTTTGCTTTGTTTTGCTTTAATTTCAGTAAAATACTCATAACATAAAATATACTACGATAAGTATTTTAAAGTATATGTTCAGATCCATTACATACATTCATAATATACTGCAACCACCCCCAGTATGGAGTTACAGATCTTTTCTTCTCCAACAGAAACCCCATACCCGTGAGCAATCACTTCCTTGATCACCTGTTAAAAGCTCAAAATCAATGACTGAAGTTTAGACCAGAAACAAAGAGCTGCTAAAACAAACAAACAAAAAACCTCATCAAGATAACCCATCCAAAAAGCCAAAAAGTCAGATAGGATCTGAAACTTCAGGCAAAGAAAGAGCCTTCAGCGGTCATAACCCCAGGGAAGGGCCACTTACCCAGAGGGTGCATGGGCCATGCCTTCCTCGCTGGCACATCCTCGAAGGTCAGGGACTCCTATGACAAGAGGGGAAGAAGGCCTTGGTGAGTGAGAACCCAGGCTCAGGATCTGAGGGGAATGAAGTACTTTCCAGGATTAAGTTGAGGAAGACATGGATTTGCTAAAGCTGCAGAGGCAGAGAAAGTTCTGGGGCTTGAGAATGTTCTGGGGTGAGGGAAGCAGCCCAGCTCACCAGCACAGCTGCCAGCTCCTGATCTCGGTAATTCTCCTCTGGCCACAGCGAGGGTTCCTGGGGAGCTGACAGCATTGGGGGAGGAAAAAAGAGCTGTTAGAAGCCAGCCCTGCCCACCATGTGGCTGCAAGGACATAAACCCTATGGCCATGTTCCTGAGAAGAGTCTTGGCTCTCCCCTTCTGGTCACCTGGGAGGCTCCCACTTCTTGCCCCACCCCTGCCATGCAGCTCCTGCCCACACTCCTCCTAGGGCATGAGCTCCTCACTGCTTTCTCTCAGGGCCTGGAATGTCCTCTGGGGGCTCAGCATCTGCTTTGAACTTGGGGCCAGCCTCTCCTCTCCCAGATCAGTGGGCTTGGTGGGCTCTGGCTGCGATGGGGGCAGTTCATTTGATGGACCCAGGGCTGGAGGCTCTTCTGAGGGCACTTCTTTTTTGGGGCTGTGGCTGGAGACCTGGGAAGGGCCCCCCTGTTCCTCCAAGGTCTTGTCTGCACGGGGACAATTCTTGCCAGTATTAAAACTAAAATCCTGTCGAAAAAACATCCATGTTAGATGACAGACAAGGCAGCAATCTGTGTCCTGTTGACTCTGGGACAGAGGAGAGATGAGAGTCAGACAGGGATGGAGTCAGGAGGTTAAGAAGGAATTGGCAAGTGGAGGAAATGGAGTTTTCAGAGATTTCTTAATGGGAGGATAAAGTCCCTGTCTCCCCACCCACCACTTTCTCACCAATGGCCCTGCATGGCTGGAGTCCCTGTGACCGCCCTCCAGCAGCAGCACCACCTCCTCGCCATCCCGCAGCGGCTGGCCCTGCAGGCGACCCAGGAGATGCGGGGGCAGCACACTCAGGAACTGCTCCAGCACCAGCAGCTCCAGGATCTGCTGCTTGGTGTGCAGAGCTGGCCGCAGCCAGTGGCTGCAGAGCTCCCGGAGCCGGCTCAGGGACGCCCGCGGCCCCATGTCCTCCTGATACTGGAAGCATCTGAAGAGCTGGTGGGCCACCTCGGGCCGTGGCCTGGTCCCTGACCGCCTGGGATCTTCCTGGCCAGCAGCCTCCTCTTCCTCCTCCGTTTTGACTGCTCCAAGCTGCTCTTGCTCCCGGGCGGCTGGAACTGGTTCTGCAAACATCCTTCACTTTGGGGGACACTTCCCCAAAGCTGGTCCCAATCTAGGGTTCCTGTCCTGGTCTCCTCCCACACCTGTGGAGCTGAAGACTCTGGGCTTGATTCTGCTGCTGCAGGGAAGCTGGCCACCACCTGGGTCTCAGGAGGGCAGGACAGCCCAGGTCTCACTTTGACCAACACACTGAAGACAGAGAAAATGGATAGTTCTGCATCATCATCCCCTCTTAACAGCATTTAGAACTTCACATCACTTTACCCTAGTGATTAAAGTGAGCATGCCCGAGAGAGAAGCAACCTGCTCTTCCCTTCTTTCTAATGTGGCCGCAGGGAGCATACAGCACTATGGAAGACAGGTCCTGGCCGCAAATGCTTAATCTCAGTCCAATCCGGCCTTCAGACCCAGCGCCCAGTTATAGGGCATTTCAGGGAGTAAGGAAGAAATCTAACAATCTCTCAAAAAAACAATTGAAGAAATCACCAAGATAGTACATTCCAGAAACAAATGGCCTGGGTTCTTCAGTGTCCACATCCAAAAAATAAGTGCCTGTAGGGGGCACTGTTCTCCAAGAGACTAAAGAGCCATTACAACCAAGTGCCAGAACCTAGATTGGGTTCTTTTTATTCTTAATTTTTTTTTAAAAGATGACTGGTAAGGGGATCTCAACCGTTGGCTTGGTGTTGTCAGCACCACGCTCTCCCAAGTGAGTAACCAGCCATCCCTATATAGGATCCAAAGCCATGGCCTTGGTGTTATCAGTACTGCACTCTCCCAAGTGAGCCACGGGCCGGCCCTGGGTTCTTTTTAAAAGATGACTGGTAAGGGGATCTTAACTCTTGACTTGGTGTTGTCAGCACCACACTCTCCCAAGTGAGCCCTGGGCCGGCCCCATAGATTGGGTTCTGATTTATGTTTTTCTGTAAGGCTCTAGAAAACCTTATGGGGTTAATAGATTAAATTTGAATATGGATAGAATACTAGATTAATGATTGTTAATTTCTGAGATGGGATTCCAGGCCTGTGGTATGTAGGAAATGTCTGTGTTGTGAGAAGATGCAGAATGGTTTGGAAGAGAAGGGGCCTGAGGGTTCAGCTGTATTTGTGGACTGACAAGAGGTATGTATATGAACGTTCATTGCCTGCTCTTTCATCTTCTCTGGATGTTTGGGAATTTTCAAAATAAAAGGTTGTAGGCCGGCCCGTGGCTCACTCGGTAGAGTGCGGTGCTGATAACACCAAGGCCACGGGTTCGGATCCTATATAGGGATGGCCGGTTTGCTCACTGGCTGAGCGTGGTGCTGACAACACCAGGCCAAGGGTTGAGATCCCCTTACCGGTCATCCTTAAAAAAAATAAATAAATAAATAAATAAATAAATAAAAGGTTGTGGTGGGTGAAGGGGTTTTGTGCCTGTGCTATCTCCCTGACCAGGTGTCCTGACCTGTCCTTCATGGCTCTGGAGGTGGCTCTCAGAGGTCAAGACCAAGGCTGCCCAGCTGACTAGTGCAGGGTTGAGCTCCCCCTGGTCCTCCAGTCTCCCCACCTTCCACATTTCCAGGCCAGAGGTTGAGGCCAGGATGAGCCAGGGGAGCTGGGATGGGGCAGCCCAACCCCAGGAGAGCATAAACTGGAGCCCAGTGCAGGCCAGTGGTAAGATCGGTGTTACTGCAAAGAGAACAGAGGTTTTTGGAGACCTAAGGGCAGGCGGATCTGGGCTGGGTGGGTGGATGGGTCTCCAGATGGGAGTCTGTGGCCTGCAGCTTGTACAGGTTTGTGATAGGTGTGTCCCCAAGCAGGAAAAAGTTGGCCTAACCCCCTCTGGGTGTTTCTAGTGGGTGTGTCCTTGTGAGCTGGGGGATGGATGGGAGAGGCAGTCATTTCCCTTTCATTTTTTAAAAAATTCTGGAGGGCTGGCCAGTTAGCCCAGTTGATTACAGCACAGTGTTAATAATACCAAGGTCCGGGGTTTGGATCCCCTTACCTGTCAGCCACCAAAAAAAAAAAGAAAAGAAAAATTCTGGACTCTTCTTTTGTCTATTCCATCATCCCTGTTGGGGGGTTACCTATCCCAACCTTGAGACCAGCTAGCAATAAAAAGTCAGTGCTTCTAACTGGCCGCCAAGGGGCACTGGTTCTGCAGGACTGACCACCTCCTGTCTTCTCCCAAGCCCTCCCCGAGGGGCTACTTCTTCCTTTTTTGGGTACCTAGAGCTACCAATAGGGAACCACTGCAAATTCAGCCTTACTCATGAGAAAGACACTCTCACCACCCAGAAGGCTTAAGCTTTTCTGAACAGGCTCATACTTTTGTTACAGAACTCTGAGGCACTTTGATATTTTAATTCAGATAGTGATTTTATAGATGTGGAAACCCAGGCTCCAACATCTCAGTCTTCCCAGTTCTGTAGCCTCGGGATTGCAAATGAGCCTCTCCCACACCATTCCACCCTCCCAACCCAGTGGGCATATTGGGCAGGGGGATGGGAAGAATGCCCTGGGCCCCTCTGCCTAGCACTTAAGGGCACAGAGCAGCACCCAACATGTGGAAGCTGACATACAGTAGATGCACAGAAGTGTGGACAATTATTGTCCTCATAGCTAACAATGAGTGACAGTAGTGTTGGTCCCATCATTGACCCATTTTACAGTGGAGAACACCATGGCTCAGAGGTACAGACACTTCCCCAAGAAAGTAGCCCAGCCTTGGTGATGGGCATGGAAAAGTCTCCTGGTCAAGAGCTTTGGACACTGTTGAGCCAAGGGTTCTCCAAACCTCCTTCTTGAGTGGGGTGAGTGGAGTGGGATGTGAGGCGCAGTAAAGAATTCAGGACCTGACCACCTCGCCAGCATCTGGCTAGCTCCTGACCACCTGGCCAGCCTCCCCAAGCTTTCAGAACTTCCCCCTATCTTCCCGGCCTCCCACCTCACACCTCCCCACAACCTGTCCAACCTAGGCTCTTACCTGCCCTTTGGCAACTGACACCCATGGGGTTTTCTCTGTTGCCACCACACAGAGGTACCTCCCTTCGTGGATCCCTTCTGAGATCCCACACCACACCACCCACCTGTCTCTCCCTTCCCAGGGTGACTCCGTGCTGCGATCATGGTTGAGTGTATTTCTCCGTCTGGCCTGTGAGCAGGACCTGTGTCTGGCTCAGTAAGTGATCGTCCAGCACTTCAACTTAACTTCAATGTTTGTTAGTAGAAATAACGAAAAGGCCCTGACAATGGCTACCTTGGAGTTGTAGGAACTGAGGGATGCATCCAACAATGTCTAGGGCAGAGAGAGTCTTTGATAAATGTTCAAGAAAATGGGGCTCTGTTTCATGGTTTTTTAGCAGCACGTGCAAAATAACTAGAGAACCAGTCACTGATTATGTCACCCTGTACTAGCAGCTGGCAGGTACTGGGCACTTATCAACAGGAGTTCGCTTCATCCTGCTCCAGCCCATGTGCTAATGATCATCTCTCCATTTGACATGTTCAAAGACCAAGCTCAGAGAGGATGGGTGACTTGCTCCAGGTTACACCAGGTCAAGCCAAGATTTGGTCTAAAAAGAGAATGTGGTTCTAGGCCACAGTGCAAAATCTCTGAAACAGGAAAGGACCTGATTCCCCTCCTGCTTTGTGCAATTTTTCTGGCCTTAGCCATAATGTCACAGTGAATCAGAAAAGAAAGAGAATTCCAAATTCCAGCCCCCAGGCCTAGGCTCACAGGGAGGCCTGAATCTCCAGGTGAGGTCTTCAAAAAGGTTTTAAAGAGGTGAAATTCTAGGCAAGTCAGCTTTAGAGAGTTTCCCCCTCCCCACAATCTCCAGGACAAAAGCTCTATTAATATGCATATCTGTAGGGGTGTTGGTTGGGTTGGGGGCAGGGGTGGCTCTTCAGCCACCATCCGATATTTGACCAGCTTAATTTGGAGCCCAGAGAAGTGGAGGGGCATAGGCTGGACCAGCCTAGTGTGGAGGTGCTGCCATGAGACCACCCAGACAATGTGAGAGAGCCCAGAGCCAGGAAAGGGGCAGAAAGTGGGGTCCTTGGCCAGGAACACTCCCTTTCTCCCTGGACACAGGTGGCAAGTGCCTGATTTGCCCATCTGTGTTGTTTGGCTCCCCTCCAATTGGGCCTCCCTGTGGGTGCTGGCCTGAGTGGACGAGGCCGGTCAGTCCACCTGGGGGAACGTGGAGCCTGCCTCCTTCTTCAATGCCCTGTGAACCACCCTGATGCCCCCATCACTACAGGTCTGCTGGGCTGGCTGGCTCTGAGCTCCCCAGCACAGTCACCCACCCCCACGTTCCCAAGACTCTCCAGCCCCTACCTCACGACCAAGGCCTGGAGCCCCCCCCCCCCCGCTGCTGTGAGCCCCTAGCGCCTGTTCCCGCATTCTGCACCCCACGCCTCCCTCCAACTCACCACTCGGGGTCCTCACTACAGAGGCAGAGCTGCTGGGGGCTTCTCTGAGGGCTCCGGGGCCAGAGCCAGCCTTGGCTAGCCTGGGGAAGGACTCCAGGAAAATGGAACAGGAAGTTCCCTGCCCCAGTCCCATCCAGGTGATGAAGGGGCTTCCTAGAGTTAACCCTTAACCTCCCAGTTTGGGGAGAGGGCGGGGCCAGAGAAATAAAGACAAAAAACAAAAAAAGGGACGAATCTAGATTCCAACGGAGGCATGCAAGTCTAACTACGCCTCCAAGCCAGACTACTCCATCCCCCAAATCAGGACTGACCCTGTGCCCTTCCAGGGTCTGATAGCCTGTACCTTTCTTTGGGGACCAGAGCTGCCATTTAAAAATGCCTCCTGTGTGCTGACTTTTTTGCATTCATGTGACAGATCTTTGCCAAGGGTCTGCCGTGTTCCAGGCACCGCTGTAGGTGCTGGGGACTTGGCGGCCCTGCCCTCAGGGGGCTTCCGTTCCAGGGCACAGGAGCAAACAGTGCTAAGAAGGGAATGGAACCGGAGGGTGCGATGGGGAGTGACGGGTCAGAGTGTGCTCGGTCTACGTTGTCAC